GTGTCGCTTATCGGTATGCTCGGGACACGTGAAAGGATCTTCTCGCGATACTCAGTTTAATCCACGAAAGTGACTCTCTACCATGTTTCTTCTGATAATGCATATCTCTTATCGGCCATTCCAAAGCAGGTGAAAGAATGTTTCCTCCACACTCAGTTGAGCATACAAAGAGTCTCCCCATTATTCTAATTTTTCTTTAACAATATGTATCGCTTATCGATGAGTCCAACACAGTCGAAGGGATCTTCTGGCTCGCTCAATTTAATATTCCAAGGAATTCTCGATTATTAATTTTTTTCTTTTTTTTTTCCTGATAATCCCTGTCGCGTCGCGCGGTTGAAAAGTGAAGACACGAAAACCCGAGGAGAAGCGACATCGGGGACGGCCTTGTAAAGCAGGAAGCCGTCACTCGCTATTGTCATCGTCGGAATCGTTTTGTTACGGTGTCTTTGCACCGTGACGATGATTGCGCAACGCCCCTCGTGTATTTCGGCGATGACGAATTCAAGCCGAGTGACTCCTGCGAAATCGCTTATCGGCGACAAACAATGGAGATAAAACCCCTCGCTTAGGTCTCCTTTCGGAGCGCGAAAAATTGCGTACGAACTCGAGACGTTTCGTTTACATCCTTTTATTTCCTGTCCTCGGAGGAGTTAACGGCTCTTGGTGAAAAGCAGCTCATTGTCCCTACCTGCGAAGTCATCGGGAATGACTGGAGGGTGCTCCCTCATGTCGCCGGAATTCCGCGAGCCGCACTCTGGAGAACGGAGAACGGGGGACGACGCAACGCGTCGCTTAAAGCAAGGGATATAACGGGTGTGCGAGACGATCCTTAAGGTGATATGAAAGTGTGATATGTACATAAGAAAAAGTGAAAATATTTATAAAAACTTTTCCCCAAACTGGGTGCACCGAATTATCTGAAAGTTTAGCACGTGATTATGGAGGCCCTAAGGAATAACGCGCTGCTCGTGAAATTTCGTTTTTCTACAAAAGTTTTGTACTTATCTCGAACAGGAACCAAAATGAGATTTTTTGTTTGTTCGTTTTCTTTTTTTTTTTTTTTAATTTTTCGAAGAAAATTTTGTATTTATCTCGGACATTTTTTTTTCCTCGAAAAATGAATTCCCACGGGCAGCGCGCTCTTCCTTAGAGCCTCCATAATCACGTGTTAAAGTTTGAGGTAATTTGGTGCACCTAGTTTGGAGGAAAATTTTAATCAATATTTTCACTTTTTGGTATGTATATATCACAGTTTTATATCTCGTTAATGTCGGTACATCGAGAAAGGTATTGCGGATCCTTCCTAGGATATTTCGATTCTCCGAAAGAAAATTGGGGAAAAGTCATTCCGAAAGGTTCAGGACGTTCCCACGGTGTCATTCCCATTTGACGACCCGAGGATCGCCTCGGGGTACTTGCTGCTCATTTGAAGGATTTCTAGTCTACCGAGAAGAAGAGAAGTTGAGGATGGCTTCGGAGCTTCAACTCGTTGGACTTGAGTTGAGAATTCGAGTCAACTCGAGTAATTTTTGTTGTAATTCGAAATCGAGTTGCGGCGAAGTTTTCGAGCTCCGATAAATCGAATTTATAAAGTATTCTAATAGACTAATCGCGTCACTGAACATCAAGAATCGAGGAAATCCGAGGAGACCCCCCGCAAATCGTTTTCCTCCCCATTTCGCCATAAACTCCACTTGTACACGGACGTGTACCTCTTTTCTTCGTCGAGTTGTCGATTCGAGTCCAAATTGCGATAATATTTCAGAATTCATGGAAGAATTCAAGTAACTTAAGCTGTGATGTTTTCGACTTCAAGTACCTTAAATTGTGGTAATATTCTCGGATTTAAGAAAGAACTGAGATAACTCGAGTTGTACCGTTTTCGAATTCAAGTAAGACGACTCGTAACGTTTTCGAATTCAAGTAAGACGACTCGTAACGTTTTCGAATTCAAGTTAGACGACTCGTAACGTTTTCGAACTCAACTAACTTGAGTTATGCTTTCGAATTCAAGTAAGAATTCAGGTAACTCGAGTTGTATCGTTTTCGAATTCAAGTAAGAATTTAGGTAACTCGAGTTTCATCGTTTTCGAATTCAAGGAAGAGTTCAAGTAATGCGAGTTGTAACGTTTTCTACCTCAACTACCTCGAGATACGTTTTCGAATTCAAGAAAGAATTCAGGTAACTCGAGTTATATCATTTTCGAATTCAAGGAAGAATTCAAGTAACGCGAGTTGTAATGTTTTCTACCTCAACTACCTCGAGTTACGTTTTTGAATTGAAGTAAGAATTCAGGTAACTCGAGTTGTATCGTTTTCAAATTCAAGTAAGAATTCGGGTAATTCGAGTTATATCGTTTTCGAATTCAAAGAAGAATTCAAGGAAGAATTCAAGTAACTCGAGTCTAAATATCCTCGAATTCGAGTAAACCTTCAAGTAACTCGAGTCATAATATCCTCGAATTCGAGTAAACCCTCAAGTAACTCGAATCATAATATCCTCGAATTCGAGTAAACCTTCAATTAACTCGAGTTATAATACCCTCGAATTCCAGTAAACCTTCAATTAACTCGAGTCATAATACCCTCGAATTCGAGTAAACCTTGAAGTAACTCGTCATAATGTCCTCGAATTCGAATAAACCTTCAAATAACTCGTGTCATAATATCCTCGAATTCGAGTAAACCCTCAAGTAACTCGAGTCATAATATCCTCGAATTCGAGTAAACCTTGAAGTAACTCGAGTTATAATACCCTCGAATTCGAGTAAACCTTCAATTAACTCGAGTCATAATACCCTCGAATTCGAGTAAACCTTGAAGTGACTCGAGTTGGCAAAGTATTCGACTCACGGCGTCACCAAAGCGAGGCTGACGAATCGTGGGGCTCCTCCAAGGAGCTCCCCCGCAGGCGCGATGCAGTGGGCGCAGCAGCGCTGCAGCGGCACTACTGCAGCGGCGCTACGGCCAGCTGATCGCGTCCGGCTCGAATCAAAGCGCGGCCTGATAGGCTGATGAGACGGTTTAGTCGGCGGTGCTCGCCGGCCGCGCGCCTGCTGCTCCCGGTACTCGCAGTCGAGCATTCGCCACGGAAACGTCGCAGCTGCAGCTGCCGTTCCCGCGCTCCACAGCCAAGACCCTTTCGCAGTCCGACTCACGCGGGAACCCTTATCACCCGTTATCAGTGCGCGCTCCCTCGTTAAAATATACCAAACAAAAGAAATATAAATAAATCGTACATACAAAGGACGGGACATCGTTAAGGACGAATCGATAAAACGGACAAAAGGAGGACAACAGTGCATCGGAAGAGGATCTCGTTCGGCGTTTCGCGCGAGGTTGGAGGGGACGAGATTCCTCGACGGCGCCGCAGGGACCCGTGCCATGTGAAGCGGGAAGAGGGTGCCGAGAAGAGGGGAAGGATTCTTTTTCGGGCCGAGATGATGTACCACAAGCCGACGACCCCGCGGTTCCGCATCGCCGAGAGGGTCAGCGTGTCCGTGAACACTCGGCCGGTCTTCGGCAAACACCACGGCAGCACGTGCAGCCTCCGGAGCGTCACCTCCACGCCCCCCTGTGTCAATAGGTACCGAAGACCCACCGGTGATCCTTATACCACCTGTATACCTCGCAAGGACCAGTTTCCGATATTCCAAAGGAACGATCCTCATAAAATTCACTGAAAATCGACGCGTGCCAAAGAAACCACGGCCGATGAAAGTGAAACTTCAAAGTCGGAGGGAACTCCCTTCAATATAACCCTTTGCACCCCTCCGTCGAGGGTGACTCGATATCAGCAATCGACGTATCAATAATTTGGAGTACAAAGGGGGTTATCACTCGAATCGTGAATTTTAACGCTGGATATTATGTCCTCGTTACCGAATCGCGTTGTTGTTCATTATATGATATCGAAGGCAATCAGCTGTCGAAGAAGGAAATCGTTTTCACTGATTTTCGAGAGAATAGATCCTCGGTTATTAATCGGTATTAATTCTTCTGATTTTTTTTTATTGGCTTTATTTGTTCCTAGGTGTTTGACTTGAAACGTTATTTCTCCCCGAAAGAAATTACTGGTAATTAGTAGAAGTCGCGTCGCGGTCTCGACCGAGGGAGTTCCTGCAGGAAACTCTCAGGTGAATCTGCGATTCAATTCCAGGGGGCCTGGAATTCAGGGGAAGTAGAGCGTTGGAATGCGAACGTGACGCAAAGTGGATCGCGGGTACTCGTAACTCAAGACCGGACTCGATCGAAGGTATCGATGAGGTATCGATGAGGTGTCGGAATTCGACGGGGAGAAACTCGCGTTTACTAATTAAATCGATGTTTTACTAATCAAGACGCGATGGCGTCTCGAAGAAGTACACTGGCGTTACGACGGACGTTGTATTTTGATATAGACGACGTATCGACAACAGTACTCGGAGAAAATGTTGTCTTGAAATGGATGCCACTTCCTGAAAAAGATGTGATAGGCATCCGTAGAAAGAACGGATAACTTTACAAATTGTTGCTTTAGAAGACTTTAGTTGTATATCATATCACTTTTAGGAACTGGCACCTATTTTAGAACACGTTGTAGTAACGTTTGATGTTATCCTTTCTCGGTGTAAGTCATAATATGATATATACTTCACAACGGACATTGTAACAAGTGTCAAGAACGACGTGCGTTACGACATATGGGGTATAATGACAAAGGCGGGTGTCCGCCGCGATGATCATGACATATTTTTACAACGGACATTGTAACGCCGAGGATCAAAAACGACGTGCGTGAAAATAGATTATGTATAATAACAGAGATGATAATTTATGATATACTTTGACGACGGACGTTGCAAGCGTTGAAACGACGTTTATGTACCGGACCTGAACGTAGCTCTTCCGAGATCTTATTATTCTTTAAGCGACCTCTACCGCGGTTTAAAAAATACCATTCAGTCTATACCAAACATTGATGGCTTTATTAATCATATTGCCTCCACCCGTTTCAGGATGAAGCAGCCCCTGGGAAGTAAAGGACCCTCCCCCGTGCACTCGAGCACCCCGGTGAGGTCAGGGATCCAGTCACCAAAACCCGCAGTCAACGGGTCCGATCCCCTCATGTGAGTAATCTTCTCTTCCGGCATTTAAAGGGATAACCGAAGTAGGGTCGAAATGGATATGGATAACGGAATCCACTTGGTGCGCGAGCCGCTAACGGGAGAAATCGTTTTCCTTTTTCTTCCAGGCGGCAGAACTCCATGCCCTCGAGCGTTTACGACCAGCGTCACCTGGAGGGCCACTACGACGTCGTTAAGCCTGTCAAGGTATGAGGTACTCTCGCGTTCTCCGTTAGGGGTAGGATCTAGGTACACCTGTCGCTTGAGACCCTCTTCGGTACCTACACTTCCGGAACCTTCAAAGCCTAATGCCTGGTTGCACCAACCTCGGTCAAAAAGCTAATCCTCGGTTACAATGAGTTACACGTTTTAACGGCGGGTTAATTTCGATTCACCGTCGTTTAGATTAACCAGCCAAATTCGATCGCGTTAGCTTCGGCCAATCGAACTCACCCTAAAAACTACACAAAGCTAATCCTCGGTTACAATGAGTTACACTTCCACCATATTTTAACGGCGGGTTAATTTCAATTCACCGCCGGTTAGATTAACCAGCCAAATTCGATCGTTTAGCTTCGGCTAATCGAACTTCGCCCTAAAAACTGCACAAAGCTAATCCTCGGTTACAATGAGTTACACTTCCACCATATTTTAACGGCGGGTTAATTTCGATTCATCGCCGTTTAGATTAACCAGCCAAAATCGAACTTCGCCGTAAAAACTGCACAAAGCTAATCCTTGGTTACAATGAGTTACATGGTCCACCATAGTTTAACGGCGGGTTAATTTCGATTCACCGCCGTTTAGATTAACCAGCAAAATTCGATCGCGTTTAGCTTTGGCTAATCAAACCACCCTAAAAACTGCACAAATTTAATCCTCGGTTACAATTTCTTTTTTATTCAGCATCACGTTTTTATTTACAATCATCGAAGTACCCTTGAAAATATAGGATATTAATTCTTAAGCAAAGAACTTTGGTTAAGAATATTTTTTTACTTCTTGAGGCTAGCGTCTGTCAAATGATTTCTTGCACGAAGCTAGGAGGACTTCGTGCATCGAAAAAGATGCATCTGATTTCTCATCGATCCTAGTATCAGTCAATCACGCGAACGCGTTCACCGACAATTCGACTTACCTCGAATGGAGTATACGATTAGTTAATCACGCTCTAAATAAATGTCGGGGAACATTTACGGTTTTAACCCATGATTAACTTGGATGTTATCTTCAACCTACGATTAGGTAATAACTGATTTAACCGAGGTTTGTGGATCCGGGCATAAATCAGCCTTCTCCACCGAACCAAGCACCCGAGTACTCTCTACGAAATGACCGCCTGAAATGGCGTAAGCGTGGGCATTCATTGTTCCAAAAAATCCCCGGATGTTTTGCGAGGCAGGGAACGGACGGGAAAAATGAAGTGGATAATGAAATGCTGGTCTCGGCGAACCAGCCGAAGGTCGCTCACGCAACGGCGCGTTATCCGCGCCGGAGGAACACTAGCTAACAGGCAAAAAGAGAGCGGCGGTGCAGCGGTAAAGCTACCAGGGCGTTAACTAATTCGAGACTCGGTAAAAAACGAGCTGGCTCGCTTTCTTGCCGAAGAGACTCCATGAAACGACGAGCCATGGGGACTCTTCGCCCTGGCGAACGCAATCGCGGTTCCTCTGGAGAAAGTGAGGAGCGGGCGCCTGGTACCAACCTTTTAAATGTGCTTCATCACCATTTCTTTAAACAATTTTTCTACACTGTTGGTCGTCTCTGCCTCCATCTTTAGCGATAAAAGCGCTCTTAATTCATTCCAGTCTCGGTAAAAGGCGAGTGGCTCGCTTTCTTGCCAATGAGGCTCCGCAAAACGAAGAGCCGAAGGCACTCTTCGCCCTGGTGAACGCACTCGGTTCCCCTGGAGAACGTGGGCGAGTGCGCCTGGTACCAAGTCTTTTAAATAAGCTGAAGCATCAATTTTTAACAATTTCCCTGCACTTCATATCAAGATCCAGGGTACCTGCTGTTTTTAGGAAAATTCTTATATGGACAGGCAGAGACGATTCAGCAATAAAAACGCCCTTAGTTAATTTGGGTCTCAATAAACTCCCTTACTTATTTAGGAAATTTAAAAAAACTTTACTTACTTAGGAAATTTTTAATGTGTCAGGATCATTCTTAGATTATCAGGAGTGATGTGTCAAAGTTTCGGACGGTTTGGTCTAATACCCTTGAAAAAAAGTGATGTACTCGAATCGACTGAGTTGAAGGGGGTTTAACTTCACCTTAAACACCTCGGATTAACACTTTCTTGTTAACCATCTCTTCCGCACTTCATAATCGAGATCCAGATCGCCAGTCGATTATTTGGAAAATTCTTAATTGGACAAGCAGGGCCGATTTAGCGATAGAAGCGCACTTTGCTTCCGCCTTTCCTGGTTCACCGGGACCGCGTAATAACACGGCATCGCTTCGCAATAATTCGAAATCGCTCGATCGCCGGGTCGTTAAAGTCATGAAAATGACGATTTATCGGCCAACGTGGGACGACTTTCCCCGGCACGTTCTAAGGACTCGCGCGTGACGGATCCACGGATCCAACCGCGGCCATTAATTAACAATTCGACGGGGAATGACTCGTGGAGGTGCTCGACGTCCGTGAGAATCGGATGAGCCCTAGCTAAACACAGACCCTGGGCGTAGAATTTCGAAACACCTGTGGGTGTGTTCGCAGGGGGATAATTCAAGTCCGTAGTCACTTACCTGTCAAATTTAATGGGCGCTAATCGCGCGCAAATTGCGCCCGAGCCATTCGATCCTTGCTTGGGAGAGCGTCTCAAATGTGTCGTTTTTTTCATTTTTTTTATTCTTTCCTTAAAATCCAAGCCAGTCCTTGGACCTGTCTTTTTTCCTATTTTTTTTGGAAACGAGAATCAGCTATGACGACATTCGCGGGACGAGACCGCGCGTATCGCGGCCTTGGACCTCGGAATCCGTCGATCGGTCTCGGAAATTGACGACGAATTGCCTCGACGAGCCTAATTGGTCCGATTATCGACGGCGATTAAGGTGAAGTGAAACACGCCGAGGAACTTGATCAACGTTGATAAAGAAAATTTTTCTAAATGCCTACGTCGCCGACGTTCGTATTTATATCGACAGCTGTGTCGAATTATATTGGGTATTGTACCAAATGGCATACTCCACCTGTCGTTTTCGTACAATAATTATAAAGAAATCGAAGTAAAACTCCAGAAATCCTCTGGATTCATGATTTCTGGGGCCCTAATTGACTGCAGAGGGACCCCCTGCGCCATCTGTGATTTCCAGGTCAATTAAATTTTCACTTCGAGACCTCGTATTCCCATCGTTTTAGCATAGAAGCGCATACAACACTTTTTTTGCCTTTATCCCGTTCAAATGCGAGTTTATCGATTACCAGAGTGTTCCAAGTCGTCGTAAAATTGTCCTGACCCTTTCGATTCTCATATCAGAGCCTTCGATAATTGTATATTGATCGAAATATGAGAGCTCGACGCCATTTTGGTTCTGATCTGGGCCGAGTTAAACAATTTTTTTTTGAAATCCAAATTTTGAATGTGTCAGGACAATTCTTAGACGATCAGGAGTGACGTGTCAAAGTTTCGGACAGTTTGGTCTAATACCCTTAAAAATAAGTGTTGTATTCGAATCGACTGATTTGAGGGGGGTTTCACCTTAACCGAGAGCGGCGGAGAGAAGAGGTCGAAATAACGTTTACGGAGGTACGGCGGAAAAAAATGGTTCCTTTCGCAGGTCGAGCTAGATATTCGTTCCGTCGCGCAACAATGTCGGCCAGCCTTTGTTCCGTTTTCCCGCAGCGGAAGTGCCAGGGAAACGTAACGAAGGAAGAACCAATCGGGAGGGACGGGAACAATGGGGGAAATGTCGCCGTAAATGCCGCGCATATGTCAGTCGATATTGCCGAAGCCGATCGATCGGAAACGACCCGACGCCATTACGGCGACCCGCTGGAAGAGACGTATTTTTACGCAGTTTGAATGTTTCCGCGGACATGTCGCGGACAAATCGGGGTCGCGCCTTCGCAAATGGCGGACAAATGCCGGGCAGATGTTTCCCCGAGCTCGATTCGTTCAACGAGAGCAGCGGTTGTCCCTCTTCGGAGGACTGTGTCACGGCCGATGATTTATCCCTCCTCTCTCTCTCTCCCTCTCTTTCTCCGAGTCTGAACCGACCGAATTAACGAGTCGTCTTAACGAGTTGTTCTTTTTTTTTTTTCTTTTTTTCCGTGCCTTTTTCTTCTTGCGAGCATTAGTCGCACTCTGAAAAATTCCGCTACCGCGCTCAACAATGCTCACCGCAATAGTGGGCCTTTGCCTTCGGGCCCCAAGGTCGGAGCCCACACGCGGAGCCACCGCGTTTGGTCCCCGCAACAATTCCGCGGAACGGAGATTATCCTCGCCAGGATGCAAATCGATTGCGCATCGCCCGCTAATCTGTCCTCGCGCACCATAGGAATTCCTGGCCTGGTTAGGACGGGCGTGGGTGGACCGACTTCCGCGATCTTGGGATCCTGGGGAGTGGAGGTTCTTCGGATGTCGAAGGCTCGCGATTTTAACGTCCTGGAGACCCCGCGAGCTGGAGATCCTGGGGATCGTAGGCTCTTGAGATCGCGAGGACTCGTCATTCTGAGGTTTTGGGGACACGCGATCTTGAGATCCTGGGGGCTCTGCATCTTGAGATCCTGCGGAGTGTAGGTTCTTGAAATCTTGAAGAGTCGTGGTCTTAAGGTCCTAGGAAAGCCTCAACCTTGAGACCCTGCGGACTGTAGGTTCTTGAAATTTTGAAGACTCGCGGTCTTAAGGTCCTAGGAAAGCCTCAACCTTGAGATCCTGGGGACTGTAGGTCCTTGAAATTTTGAAGACTCGCGGTCTTAAGGTCCTAGGAAAGCCTCAACCTTGAGATCCTGGGGACTGTTGAAGACTCGCGGTCTTAAGGTCCTAGGAAAGCCTCAACCTTGAGGTCTTGGGGACTGTAGGTTCTTGAAACCTTGAAGATTCGGGGTCTTAAGGTCCTAGGAAAGCCTCACGCTTCAGACCCTGGGGACTGTAGGTCCTTGAAATCTTGAAGACTCGCGATTTTAAGGTCCTAGGAAAACTTCAAGCTTGAGATCTTGGGGACTGTAGGTCCTTGAAATCTTGAAGACGGGTCTTAAGGTC